CTGATGGGGTATATAGGTGACCTACTTGGGACGCCAGTAGGGTATTTTGTGAAATCTTTTGAATTATGCATTGACGCGTTAAAGTGTTATGTGCATTTCAATTATTCGGATTATACTTAATTATGCATTTATTGAAAGTGAAACTGTTGATGCATTTCTGTTAATAGATCTCATTTTGAAAAATATTGATATCTTTCAACGATGATTATTTTTAGAATTATGATGATCACTTACTGAGTAGCCAAACTCATCAAACTATGGTAAACATTTTTCAGGATAACTGCGGTTTCATTTGTGTCCTCGTCAAGATCAACTTTGGGAAGATATTGTAGTTTTGCTTAAACTTTTTTTTTGTTACTTTGTAAGACCTCGCCACTGTAAATTTGTCCTATCAATAGATGTATATATGTTTTGTCTGTCACATCTCGGGGTGTGACACTATGTCCATGTGCAGAGTGGGTAACGTTCTAAATTAGACTCTAAGTGTAAGCAGTGCATATTTCTCAGTTTTGATAAAGGAGTGAAGAGGTTCAAGCTTTGGGATCCTACTTCACATAAAGTTGTGTTTAGCAAGGATGTGTTTGATGAATCTCACATGGTGAAGTCAATCAACATGCAAGATGACATAGTACAAGTAGATAAAAGTGATGGAGAAAGATCGACAGTCTAGGTGGAGCTAAAAAAGTCTGAAATACCAGAAAATGAAGAATCATCTAGCTACATACCAGAACAGCAGTAACCACATGGTGAACCCTACAATCGGGGAAAAGGCAGAAAAAAACATGTTCACAAAGCCCCTATGAGATACGGTTTTAAGGACATGGTAGTTTTTACTCTAACAGTTGGTACTGGGGAAATCGACTTTATCGAAGATGCTCTAAGTGATGCACAGAATGATAAATGAATGACAGCCATGATGGAGGAGATGGAGTCTCTAGAAAGAACAAGACTTGGAAACTTGTCAAGATGCCCAAGGGAAGGAAAGTGATTGGGGGCAAGTGGATATTTCGAAAGAAATAGGCAGCAACAGAAAAGGGATGTGAGAGATTCAATGTTAGGCTTGTAGCAAAGGGCTACAATCATAAGGAGGGAGTAGACTGTAATAAAAATATTCTCTCCGGTTATCAAACACACTTCAATAAGGTTATTACTTGCTTTAGTAGCCATGTTTGATTTGGAGCTAGAACAAATTGATATGAAGACATCGTTTCTTCATGGTGATCTTGAGGAACAAATCTTTATGGAGCAACCTGAAGGCTTCAAGGTGCATAGAAAAGAAGATCAAGTTTGCTTGCTCAAGAGATCGTTTTATGGTCGTAAGCAATCTCTTAGGCAATGGTACAAGCGCTTTGACTCTTTCATAATGCGGATTGGCTATTCAAGAAGTGAGTATGATTGTTGTGTTTATTTTAAAGTTCTTAGTGATAATTCTCTTATTCTCTTGATGTGTTATGTTGATGACATGCTCATCGCTGTCAAGAATGCATATGACATAACATCTCTCAAGTATATGTTAAGTTCCGAGTTTGATATGAAGAATCTAGGGGCTGCTAATAGGATCCTTAGTATGGAGATTCATAGAGATAGAAGTGCAGGTAAACGTTAGAAAACTTAGAAAAGGTATGTTGAAAAGGTGCTAGAGCGTTTCAACATGGAAAATACCAAGTCAGTTAGTACTCTATTGGCAAGTCATTTCAAGTTATCTGAATGGCAGTGTCCCACTACGGATGAGGAGATAGAGCAGATATCTCTGGTGCCCTATGCTAGCGCAGTCGGAAGCCTCATACATGCTATGGTTTGTAACAAGCCGAATTTATCTCATGTTATCAGTGTTGTTAGTCGATACATGAGTAATACTAGCAGGGAGCATTGGAATGCAATCAAGTGGATTTTCAGATATCTGAGTGGAACACTAGATCTCAGAATTATGTTCAACAGGAAGAGATGCTATACAAAACTGGAGGGATATGTCGATTCCAACTATGCCGGTGATTTAGACAAGCGAAGGTCTACTATAGGGTATGTATTCACCCTAGCGGGTGGACTTATTTCATGAACGGCAATGCTTCAACCCACGATTGCCTTGTCTACGACAGAAGCAAAGTACATGGCAGTAGTTGAGCCTGCAAAGGAGGCAATCTGGTCGACTGGTTTGGCTCGTGAGTTGAGGGTGAGGCAAGAAGATACTGTACTGCATTGTGATAGTCAGAGTGCCATAAATCTTACAAAGAATCAAGTGTTTCATACAAGGACAAAATACATCGATTTGAGATATCACAAGATCAAGGAGCTTGTGTTAGAAGGAATCATTTACTTGAAGAAAATTCATACGAATGAGAACCCTGCAAATATACTTACAAAGCTGGTCACTACAGAGAAGTTCAAGCTTTGCTTGGACTTGCTTAATGTCACTCATTGTTGAGAGTGAGGGAAGCACCCCATAGTAGGTGGGAGTGCAGTCACGTACCTCCATAGATACGAGGATGAAGATATCTTTATGGCCGCTCGACAAAATTCAAGCCAAAATGGAGATTTATCGATAATTGATGTCTTGTATTATGAGAAAATAGATCTGCCAAGGTGGAGTTAAAAGGATAACTCGGATGGCTGTTGAAAGCTCGAAAGGTTTGAGGCCCAGAGGAGTATCTAGGTAGGTAGACTTTGGTTAACTTGACCCTTACAAGGGTTCGGGGGCGCCAGTCCTCGAGAAAAATTTCGGATATCCGTACAAGGGATTCGATATATATCTGTACATGGGGTATTTCGATAATTTGTACCATCTATCTGGGACTCGATATATATTATTGTGATGGGTTTTTTTTAAGGTCAAGGGAAAAAAATGCAGATCTCTTTGTAATCAGAGAGAATAGAGAGGCGTGAGGAATAGAGTTATTGTAACTCTATTCTCTATTACCAGTAAAGAAGCTCTCATCTCCCGTGGACGTAGGCACGTTGACGAACCACATATATATTTACATTGTGGTTAGTTGTTTCTTTTCTTTTTGTTTCTTTCTTCTTTCTTGTTTTCACGGATTACTTTTCGTTTCTACAGATATAGCTCCTAAACACAATATACCTAGCAGCAATGCACCTAGACTCATCTTCGATGTCAAGCTTGGCTCCGAGTGAGTCACAATGGTGAGTCCTAGGTTGGCTTGCCAAGTTTAGATATTCCTTATTAACAAAAAAAAGAAGGAAAAATATAGATAAAATTCCCAAAAATCAAACAACGTTGGTTTCTGAAAAAGAATTGACTCGTATTTTAATCATTATTATCATCGTTCAAATCTTATCCCGATTATTTAAGATGGGTGTACATGTAGTTTAATGAATTTTTAAAAAATTTATCATAGATCAAATCTATGCAAATCAAACAAATTATGAGTACATATCTATCGTTGATCAACCATAGGACTCTGAAAAATCAAATCTCCAAAGATTATTGGGTTTGGACTAAAATTGATCAGAAAAATCCAAAGCTTGCCAAGTTAACTTTCAATATAAAAGCTCAAATTTCGGATTCTTTTAGTTCCAAGAAAATAACTATTTGATTCCAAAATCTATCATAGATTCAAATAATCATCAAGAAATGCCGATCATATCTGGGGCTAAATAGCCCTAAAAAAAAAAAGAAATAAGCACCTTGGACTAAAAAATCCCAAGAAATGGGTGAATTGTTGGACTCGAGCAATTCCTGAGACACCTCAGATTTAGGAATCACCTGAATTCCATACAAAAACTGGTCGTGCAATACATTGAACGGGCCAGTTTAGTTCAACTCGTAGTGATTCCCCGCTTCAGAGGCCTTAAAGGACACCGATTCCGAGGTTTACTCAGATGAGTCTCAGTTGATTTGGTGATTCTCAATCATAACTAGCATATTTTCCTCATGGGTGTGGTTTGTATAAGGTTGAAGCCTTAAACAATCAAATAGGGCTCAACTTGAAATAGTAGTTAAAGATGTAGTTTGTGCCAAAGATCCACGTGATACCCAAAAAATACATTTTCATCTCTCATCCCTAATTAAGATATTTAAAGTTTCAAAAATAATGTAAATACTTATGAAAATAGACAATCTACATAATGCATTACAAGATATTCCCAGACTCAAAAAAAAAAAATTATCATTTTCATAAGTTTTGGAGTTTAGAAGATCAATTAGAGGATTTTTCAACATAAAAACAACTTTTCCGATGAGTTTTTAAGGTGTGCATTACTTCAACAGTAGAAGGCTAACATCATACATAAGATTGTGCCTTATTTCTATAATATATGGTTGACATCTTGTATGAACTTTTTCCTCTTTTTTTTCATAATTGACATTAAAAGGCAGGAAAAAAAAAAGTTACACTCCCAAACTCTCTCTCCCTAGAACCTCTTATAACCCGAATTTGGCAATCAGAGCAGGTTTATCCACTATAATTGATCATAGCACCCTCTCTCTCTTCTCTCTCTCTACTATAATTGATATAGCACCCTCTCTCTCTTCCAGCCAGCTAAAGGCAAAAACCGAAAATTCATTTCGACAAACTGCCAAGTCCCAAGTAAAACAATCCGGACCGTCCATCCCAATCTCATATTCACAAATCCTTGAATCTCAAACTTTTCCTGTCCTCAAAAACCAAACAAAACAACACGCTTTTTCGCCCCATTTTCGCACTTTACAACTAGAGAGAGAAAATTCTACAACCCCAATTAAATTAAAAAAAAATTGCTAGTGAGAGGCTCTCAAACCATCATGGGTGGCAGGGATTTTAGGATCTCAAACCATATGGGTGGCATTGAGGATTGTCAACTAGTGGGTTTTTTATGTATGGTTGGGATTCAATGCTACAACTGTAGAAAGGTGGTTTTTAAATGCTGACCTGGTCTCATACCCACCATTGTAATGTTGGTTTGAAAATTTAAACGGTTTCATACCCGCCCTAAAATCTTGGGCCACTCGCCCTATAATTTGGCTTCTTCCACCTTAAAATCTTTCCAAAAAAAACAAACCAAAACCCATCCAAATGTTCAACGCGTTTTTGGTGGCAGAAACTTTACATTCTCTCTCTCTAGATTATATTTCCCAGACCCCTGTAACTGGTAGTAACTTTCTCGTCTCATTCAATTCATGATGGCCCTCTAATTCTTGGGAGTGGGGGCTTCTGTGACTTGTGGTTCTGGTATGCTCTCTCTCTCTCTCTCTCTCTCTCTCTCTCTCTGTGGTGCGTAGGGCTGCAAACGGGTCAGGTTTGAATTGGGTTGTGGTTGATTGGGACCAGAGCTCAGCTAGGTCCCAGTCCATTGGACCTGGACACAATTGCCTGACCCGGATGAGTCGGAGCTGGGGCTAAACCCAGGTTGGTACTTGATCCACCGGAAGCAGTGGCAACGAGACCCGGATTCAGTTCGGGTAGTTGTTTTCACCGCTATTGATACTCTCTCTATCTCTCTTTTGTAGTTCTGATATGCTAATCAGGCAGTTAAAACAGATTCTTTGTTGACAAAATCAGTTAAAATCTTTTTGGTTCTGTTAATGTCCCATAGGCTGGGTAACATTATAAAAAAAAAAAATGTCCCATAGGCTGTTCAAAATAACGAAATACTGAGTCAGCAATTAAAGAAAACAACCCACATTGAACGCGAAGGGTTTGGATTTATCACAAAAATACAGATGGTTCCACTGATTAAAAATGTATAAATTCTTGGGATATATATGTTCACAATAAACAACTAAAATAATGAGCAACTTGATATAATTGTTTATTGAGAATGTAATATTTTTATTAGATATTGATTGGACTTGAAAAAGCTATGAAGATAACCACCGGCATTGGAGACCTATAGGTTTCTTCCATCCTCTTCAAATTTATATTTGAAGAATTTAGAGAAAAAAAAAAAAGAGGAAGTGGAGGGTTCAAATCCTTGAAGTTTGTCCCAAAAAACAGAATCAAACTGCATAGCCTTTTCTTTCTTAGGTATTTTCTCCATTGTTTAAGGATCTTAGAAAATAGGCACTTCACTTATTCCATATTCTCAGGCCCTTATATAAAGCTTTTAGTAATTAAAAAGGAAAAAATTTGAGACAAAGATAAAGCACAGTACTTTATATATCAAAGAGGGGGAACAGATATTGGTGTGAATTCTGAATTCTCTTGTAACATAACTTCTATCTATTTTCTATGTTTAGGTGAAATTATTTTCAAAACAACAATGAAATGTTTTTGAGGAAAATGAGACCTTTATCTAGCCTAATTGTTTCTTTCTTATCGAATTTGATTTCTTTTTTACAAATGTAGGGTCCAAATGTTTAGGGACAAAAAAAAATAATAATAAATAGTGAAACAAATACAAGAACCAAAATGATATAGCTTGAATATGTAAAATAAAAAAATAAAATAAAAGTTCCATAAGGAGCAAAAGGGGTTAAGGGAAAAAAAGATAAATAAATAGAATCAAGAAATAGAAAATACGAAGTAAATTGTGGAACCTTTCAAATGCAATAAGTAAATAAACGAAAACAATGCCAGGAAAATAAAAGAGGAAAGAAGGGAAATCATGACATTCATCCATGGTGATGGATGGTGGAGATTAACTGTAGTTCACAGTAACAGATATTGGCTGAATATGATTAATATCCACTGGGCATCATCAGATGGACAGTGGATGCTCCTATGGTGTACCGTATACCATACACCATTCAGGTATAGTATAATTCAAGGGAAAAGGAACAGCTCAAAACAATGGAAAAACTGAAATAGAATGCACTTTTTCCCAGAATGGAAAGGAATGAATAGAAGGTTGAGAGAGAGAGAGAGAGAGTTCAACGGATCACTGAAAGGGAAAAGTACAAATACAATGGTGATAGAGACGGTATATGGTACACCACAGGGGCATCCGCCGTCCATTCCCAACAACAAACAATAAAGAGGACTAACCAACCACAGGACCTAATGTGGAACACTAAACCACGTATGTTTAATATCTGCCATCCATCATGAAGAACCAACCAGTTAATGTCCCCATGGTGTATCATAAACCATATAATATACTTCCCTTGCATTTTTTTCCCTAATAATTGTCATGTGATCTAAAACAATTCTGTTATTGTTGGTTGGAAGTAACGAGCTTGAGGTATAAGCATGGCTGCACAAAGCAAAGAAAAGAGCATTTCTTCGCCATCCACTCCGCATAAAAGCGACGCTCCCCCAAGAAGGAGACGAATTCCTTCACTTAGAGGCTTATTAGAAAGCGAGATAATTTCAGAGAAGAGCATTTCTCGGTATCTAAAATCGTCCACAAGTTCATGCCATGATTACTGCAAGTATGGAAGAAAGCAAGAAAGTGAAGCAAAGGAGAAGAAGAAGCCTTCTCTCTCTAGAAAACTTCCTCTCAAAAGCCCATCCCCATCCCCATCCCTCTTCACAAAAACTTGCAAGTCTGAATGCTCGAGGGACCGACCTGCCACCAAGACCAAGACTACTTCTCCTTCTAGCAACACTGCAGCTTTTGCAAAACCGGTTACCACCAAATTTCCATTGCAATCACCAAAGAGTGGCAATAGCAGCAAACCAGTAAAGAGAGTAGAAAAGGAAGGGAGAGAAAGTGCCACAAATTTGAGCTCTAGTACAGTCGAGAGTGCATGTAAGGTGGAGGATGAGGCAAAGACCACCAACTCAATTGAGCCAGAGGATGACATTGTAAAAGTAATAGAAGTTGTAGAGGACCATGATGGGAATCATGGTAATGAGGATCATGGCCATGATGATGGTGAAAGGTGCAATGTGGATGGAGATGGCGATACCATCCTGCCCATTGATTGCGAACCCAAAACTCCAGAGCAAGAAAGCCCAGAGACTTACACCATTAAGGATCCTCTCTCAGAAGAACAAGAAGGAATACAAACCCAAAAGACTGGCGCTGATCATAGTGATGCTGAGGACAAAGAGCATGATGCCCCCATTGATGCTGCTAATGCAGTTTCTGTTGATGATGATGTTGATGATGAAGATGAGGACAGTGATGATGCCGAGTATGAGGAGGATGATTATACTGATGATTCTTATGAGGAGGAAGAGAATGGGAGTGAGAGAAAGAAAAATGAAGGTATAGAGAGAAGAATTGATGGAGGGGAAGAAGGTTGTTTTTCTAGAAAGCCATGCTTTCAGAGGGGAACAGTGGTTGTGCCAGAATCTTCTGATGACAAGCCCCGCAAACTAAGATTTCGGAGAGGCCGAACGATTGGAAATGAGGAAATCAACAAGAATTTAGGGAGAAGAAGGTATAAGAAGCGAGAGGTCCCAGCCAAGAATGGTGATGGAGCTGATCAGCGTGGAAAAGAAGTGGTGCTTAACAAAGGTAGCATTCAGGGAAAGAAGGATGCTTTGGTATTTAATGAGGTGATAGAAGAGACAGCAAGTAAGCTTGTGGAGAAGAGGAAGAGCAAGGTGAAGGCTTTAGTGGGTGCCTTTGAGACTGTCATATCTCTTCAAGGGGAAGGACCAAATAAAGATGACAATGACAACGACAAAAACAAAGAAGAAAACTAAGACATTGTATGTGGCACATAAGTGGTCACTAATTAGTGTTCTCTATCTATATAATGTTCTTCATGTATATCAGATCTTGTTATATAAGAACATTTTTGCTCAACATTAGAAAGGATTTTAATAAAAAAAAAAAATACATTTCAAATGATTTAATAGTAAATGAGAATGAAGCTTGTGACATGAAAACGATCTGTAACTCACTGCAGTCATGTTTGGTCATAATTCTAGGTTGGTTGAAGGTTACACTAAAAAAGGCTGAATGTGAGTGGAGGTTCTGAGTTCTAGGTTGAGTTGGAATCAACATTGTTTCTCTGCATTTTTTTCTCCTTTTCCTCTTATTCTTGCACATCTTGTAAAGAACAGATGATGGGTGGCCATTCATGCCGTCCATCATGTGAATCCAGAGATAGAGTAAAAGAAATAAGAAGAAGGGGAAGATATGCCCACTTGCACTCAAAGAAAACAACGAATTGAAATCACTAGGATAACAGAAGAAATTTAAAAAAGAAGACTAACTAATATAAAAGATAATATTTCATTAGAAGAAGAGAAAAAGACAAGAGAGACTTGATCCAATGTTAATTTTTTTCTGATCATTTCAGCCCTCCTAAGGGAACTAACAGAACCAATCAGAGAGTCCAATTAAAATCAACACAAATGCACTTGATTCAAATAAGAGTCCACATTTGGATACATTTGATTGAACCATTCAAACAAACATTACAGGTCTGTTAAATATTGTGCAAAATCCACACAGTTCATCACCCACAAATGTGAGTTTGACATATTTTCCAATTATTATGTAATTTATAGTTTTGGGAAGATTTTCACAATGAACTGCTTTACATATATAAAGAACAATGAATTGGTAATATACTACACCAGTAATAGCACACATCCTTAGCATCATAATTTACCAAACAAAAAGGTTTCAACATTATAATTTTACACTCATGATTTTGGGTGCCGTGTATTTGCATAACTCCATAATGGTGATGATGACAACAATAATGATGAAAACATCGACAAGGATGATAACAACAATGAAGATGACAAAAAATTCCTTCCCATTAGTCAATTGGGAACTACCTGCAAAAACCTCTACAAAAGCTTCTATCCCACTAGTGCAAATTGCTCTTGCAAGAACTTGTACAACTCATCGGCAACAATTGCTGGGTATTCCTCTTGAGGGAGAAGGGCGCCAGGAACTTCAACAAACTTTGTAACCCCTTCAACTCCATTTAAGGCAGACATCTCACCCTTGGATCTCTTTGGTGCACTTTTAGTTGATACAACCAAAATTGGAATCTTCCCATCTAATTTCTTGAACAGCTCAAGAAATTCCTCTCGAGATTTCACAGGGTCTAAGAGACCTGTCAAGAAGGCAGCAGGTGCATAACGGGCGCCTTTTCGCTTCGTCAAAGCATATCGGCTACTGATAATTGATGGAGTCACATTTTCGGGGTCAGCATATACATGTGATTCATACTGAGATTGTATGGACTTCTCATTGCTGACAAGCATATTATACATCATCCAACCCACAGCAGGTGTTCTGAGTGTACCCCTCAAGAGCCCGTACCTGTAATAATCAAGCAATATAAATATGAGATTTTCTTCCTTATATCTCATTGAAGTTCGTCTACTGGTTAGAATCATAGGGAGTGAAAAGGTTCCAAAGTAATTCTTCTTAAATGATTTTTCATGTCAAGAGAAATTAATCGAGCAAGTACAGCACAATGAAGCTAAACTAAAAATTAATGATCAAAACACCAAGAGAGCCTAAGTCATATGTCTTCCAACAGAGGTACACAATCTAATTATAAGACAGATGGATCATGCACAACTTATTGGCTTTGTCCAGATAATTAGAATGACCAATTTTATTCAAGACATCAGTTTATAATGATATATAAACTAGAATACTGTGTCATTTGCTTACCTTGATTCCATGTTTGTATCTCGACCAAATACAATAGGAAGAGGACCAGCCCAAGTAGGTGCAACAGCAGCAATTGCTGATGCCTTCACCAAACCTTTATTTGCTACATGAAGGGCTATAGTTGCTGCATGTCCTCCCGCAACAATTACTATTTCATTATCTGGTGATCATAAGGGAAATTAATGATTAAAGAGTTTGAGAATATTCATATGATGACTGGAAAAAGAAAAAAAGATATTTTATCAATCCGAAAAAAGAAAAACAATTTTAGGAAGTAATCTACTGAAGACAGCTAAAAACACGTGAGTGGATCATTAGTCATTATGAACCAGACGTGTTTGATGATATATGTTAACTATTGGATCAACAGGCAACTCAAAAAGCATGAATATGGAGGCAGGGAATAGCTGGATGTAAGCCTGTCCGTAATTTCTTTCAATTTTATGGAGGTATATAATTGAAAAGCCATGGTTGTAGTAAATTGTAGCATCATTTTTAATTAATATTCTTCAAAACATTTGGAAAAATATGAGGATCTACTCACCTATTCATAAGAAATGAGAGAGAGATGATGCGTCAACCTTCTCTATTTTCTCCTAACATCTCTCCTGGGGGACTAAGACACAATTCTCTGGTATTTCTTGGAAGACTACAATACGCCCCAACTATTTTAGAAAAGCCCAAAAATCCCAACCTTATGGGGGAATAACTAAAGGCCTCTGTTTTCCTTAAATAGCTGAAAACAATTATAGGCCCCTTAAATAGCTGAACACACAGAAGGACCTTGTAATCATTCATGGATAAATCAAGAATTTAGACTATCAACATACAGGTATATGAAAGATATCTCACCATAGCCATTCAAAGGACTGTCTGACGCTTTCAAGAATTCAACCAAGAAATTCTCCATGACTTCAGAAGTATAATTAATTGAAGGCCTATCAGAATAGCCAAATCCGGGCCAGTCCAAAATAGTTGTATGCCAATTGTCCCCACCATCGCGATTGGCAATATCGCTAGCAACTGCTCGCCATTCTTCGACAGTACTAACATCTGATATAGTGGGTAGCATAAGAATTCTTTTCGAAGGTTCAGGTTTCTTTCCCTTATGCTCTTCAAAATACACATTGATGGGGTTGTCTTGATATTTCCATTGCCAAGTACCAGTCTGACTCGTCAAAAGGAAAACCATTATGAGGCTACAATCATAACATTACAAAACAAAGGAAAATGAAGATGACCAAATTGATATAAATAGCAGATTTATTATATAGCTTTGCGCAACACTCCAAGCCTGCTCATGAGCTGGCTTGGCAAGGCTCGTAATGAGAAAAACTTGAACAATACTTTTTGGCTCAAGCCACTTAACAAGCCATTCCAAAATCCAACCCCATGGGCTCAGGTTTATTAAACAAGGCAAGCTCAAGCTTAGATAAACTTTGCTTGACCAGCTTGAACTTGTTCAATATTAGGTATCTAATATACAACAGTGTATATATATTATATCATATTAGCACCACCTCAGAAAGAAACCTCACCTTAAGATGTTACATTATATAATAAAGGTATTACTATATATTGCCTTGCTTATGGGCTTGTTCTCAACTAGTTTATTTCTTTACTCAAGCTTGATTATGGATTTGTTCAGGTTTTCAAATCAAGCCAAGCCAAGCCCAGGATTACCTTCCCTTAATCAAGCAAACCTCAAGCTGGGTGGTTCAGGCTCGAGTCTCGCTCAAGCCAGTACTCCACCATGAAGGCCAAGCTTGAAAATGCCCAAAGCTAGGGTTGGCTTGGCTCCTTGACACCCTAGCAATTATAACAATTGAGCCAAAAGAAGTGCAATCCAAAACAGTGAATTTAAACCCAAAACTTAAAAAAAAAAAGGCGTAACTAACTAATCATTCCATCAAAATTTTATCGAGAAAAAGTATACTCTGAGACAACAAAATTTAATCCAAATATTTATAAGGTAGAAAAATGGTGAATTGACAGACAACCTATCACATGTATCACATTATAGAAGCAGTAGAGTTAATTTCATTTTCTTAAACTTTTGTGTTTTTGCTTTTCAGTTTCAAAGTTCAGGCGTAATAAGTTTCAATCTCGCAAAACCTGAAACTACAGTAATGACCCCTATATCCCAAACTGAGATTGATGGAAAAATCAGACAAGATTCTAAGAAGTTTCAGTCAAAATCTGCACAGGAATTCTACAAATTCCGATGAACTCAGCTAAAGTGTGTCAAAAAATGGAGGCGAATTTTTTAAAAATACAAAATGAAAAATGATGAAGTTCCAAGAAAATTTGGACTTAAATTCTCATATGCAGCCTAAACTCGTGAGACTTTTTCATGTAAAAAATCCAAACTTCACGCTTGTCTTGCAAACTTAATTTCAATCCACTTTCTTTCTTCAAATGTGTCCCAGAAATTGCACTAAAATACCGAAATTCAGACGATATCCTCATTCTTTTTCCATAATTAGTCCCAAAATTTCAGCTCCATACGTAATCTCAGTAAAACCTACTCCAAGGATTGCTAATCAAAATCCGATTGATAATTAAACGAATAAAACATGAATACATGACAAAAAATTAGATCTAATACATAAAATCCAATCCAAGAGAGAAATAAAATTAACTTATGGATCAGTAATTGAACTTTTTCAATGAATCTGAATTAAATTTCAATAAAATGTAGAGAAAATCTAAGAATAATCGAAAGAAAAAGACGGAATTACCGCTAAAGAGGATAACTGCTTTGAGTCGAGAGAAGTTAGAGCTGATCTGATGGCTAGGGTTCTGTTAGTTGATTTAAACAAGAGCAACCCACGATTAAAAGGTGCAGAGAGGTTAGAGGCTTTCTCTGACAAAATTGGACTAGGGCTTGGAAGAGAGAGAAAGAGAGTTGCAGAGGAAGCCATGAGAGAGACACAGAGAATTGCAAGAAATTCAGCGAATGGAAAAGGAAAGAATTACAATTACATAAATATTCGGGAGTTTTCAAGGGAAAAAATCAGAGACTTTTCAGCCCCCGCGATGAGGTCCAAAAGTCCAACTTCTTTTTTGATTTTTCTTCGCGACGGCATTATACTATGCTCCCGTGAGATCCTACTGTAGATATACACCCTTAGTCAAAAGACATATTTGGGGAGGTTTTTTTTTTTTTTCCTTCTTTTTCATTTAAAATTTTGTGAACCAACTAAGAACTGCTAGATGACTATTTTTTAAGGAACATATTTTAAATTTTTTAGTTTTTTAATCTTGGATCCCACCTTCAAAAATTAGACAGTCTTCATTTAAAATTTGATACAATTTTTTTTCTCATAACAATTTGGAAATTCTTTTTACAAATGTTAATGTATGAGTTGAAGAGGTTACATTCCTAAAAAAATTAGACATTCTAAAATTATTCCTTCATTAGGTTTTACCTAAGGGAGAAAATGTATAAAAAAAAATTAGCTTTTTTATTGCTAAAATTAACTCCCTTGTGCAAGAGAAATACTTGGTAGGATTCTCTTTTCTAGTATTTGTATTTTTGGGATCCATGTGAGAATTAGATGATGTATTGTCAAAAACAAAAGCATGGATTTTGTTGATCTTGCAGCCAAAAATTAGACCTTCATTTTTCAATTTTGGAACGTTATTTTTTTCAAGCACAAAAAATGCATGATTTGAATTTCTTTTCTTTTTTTTTTTCTTTTAAGTTGGTGGTTAGGCTCGAGAGCTTACATCCCCAAATTTTGGGATTATAAAAGTATTTCTAGCTCGAGATATACCCAAATAGAAAGTATACTCCCACCGGAAGCGCACATATCCATGACATAGTAAGATACCACAAAAAATGATATCGTCCCTTGGGTGAAAAGCAAAGAGGTTTTTTTGGATCTTAACTTTTGAAAACCGTTTTGGAATCGAAATATAAATATTTCTACATAAAATTAGATTTTGAGTTCCTAAAACTTTATTGGATGGTCTACAATCAATTTTTGGATGTTCTTTCTAGTCTTTCGTAGAGCCAAGTGATTTTTTCAAAGATAGAAGATTTAATTTATTAATCAAGGAATTTAAAATTATGACCGTTGATCTAGAATTAAAATTGGATAAATAAACTAGGCTCTTGATTCAAAGACGGAGAGAGCATGTGTATGGCACTCCCTAGGGATTATAATGTACATTTACTATCTTGAACAGAAGTGGAAGATTTTTTAGATCTATTTTTAGTATCCATTTCATTACTATTTTTAAGAGAAAAAATTTAGATATTGGGACAGCTTACATGGCTTCTAAGTCGTAGCCAAGCTCAACTTCTTTTTCGAATTTCAAAACTCGTCCGTTAACTAAATGGTGTCATAAAGAAATTACTATGCAACAAAAATAAATGTAGCATGTATCAAATATATCTCAAAAAGATATTGAATTTGTAATAAATTTTTGAAGGGCGTGGTTTCTATAAGGCTGAAACCTTAAATAATCTAATTAAGGCGTACCTCCAAATTTTATCATAAGATGTACTTTTGGTGTAAAAACTCTGAGGATTATCTTAAAATCTATTTTTATTTTTAATTATAAAATTTTAAACTCCAAAAATAGTTAAAATCAAGTAGACCTATAAACATATGAAAATCTTGAAAATTGACAGTTTAGATAATGTATTGCAAAATGCACTGTTTTTAAGACTCAAAGTCGTCTTTTTTTTTTTTTTTCATATTCATATATCTCGATATCGAGATGATCAATTAGATAGTTTTTCAATATTAAAACAACAAATTTTTATGGATTTTTTAGGTGTATATGTAATTCTATATTTTAAAGTTGCAACTTTATATAAACTTTTTCCATTTTTGAAATATATTGAATGTCAATATATCATGCAATCATTATATTGGATATGTCCAAAACAATAAACTAAATAGCAAACTACATAAATATTTTGGAGTGGTTAATTACTGTGTTATTTGTCTGAAATTACGAGCATTACCTCCGTCAAGTTGCCTTCTTGTTCGGCCATGCAGAGACGGTTTTTTTTTTTTCTAAGTGGTTCTAATGCTGTCAGGCATTCTCATTGCCGGACACCTCTATGTAAAAAACCAGTTTCTCTCTATCTCAACTTGTATGATTCACTTTCTCTCTCCTCTCTTTCTTCTTAGTATTTGGTCCTTCCTTTTCTCGTGGGTCTCCTGGGTCTTCGCAGTTGGTGATGCGTTGTTGAGGAGTGGGTCGTCCGGTTCTTGAGGAGTGGATCCACATTAGGTGTTTTGTGACATATGGCAACAAAAAACACTATATTTCTTTGCAATCAAAACAAGGGCTGATTGTACATTAAGCATATTAAATCAGAATGCAGAAAAAACTCATTTTTTTTGGTACAATTAATTAATAAATGAAGGAAAAAAATTATATAAGGTGGTAGAAAAAAAGCACGCCTCATAAGTCCATCAAAAAAAGATTTCCCCTCTAATTGATCATCTCATCCTCAAGATGTGCAAATATTATAAAAAAATAAATAAAGTACATTTTGTAATACGTTATTTAGACTGTCCATTCTCAAGCTTTTCATTTGTTTGTAGATATGCTCGACCGTCCATCCTGAAGCTTTTAATTTGCTTATAGATATATTCAATCTCTACCATTTTTTTAGTTTTAAATTTCATAATTTAATAAGTAAATTTTGACTAGTCCTTTTAACTCTTTCGACAAGAGGTTAACCTTACTTGGATTTTAACGTTAACATCTAAAATGGAGGTTAACCTTACTTGGATTTTAAGGTTGACATCTAATACAGTTAATAGATGATATGATTAAATGACTACACTCAGTACATAGATGGAGAATGATTCCTTGGATGCAATGAGAATATCTTTTCTTTTTCAACTCGCTGTGCAACAATGAGGGTAATGGCTAGCCAGGCTCGAAGAATGAACGAATGCACCTCTGCTATCTTTTCTTTATCAACTCGCTATGCAACAATGAGGGTAATGGCTCGCCACGGCATACTTCAAGCCACCACACTCAACTGCACTGCACCGCACCGCACCGAGACAATGAGGGTAATGACTAGCAAGGGCATACTTCCAGTACACCTCGGTCCGAGAGAGGAAAGAAAATTCCCGCCACACTCAACTGCACCGAGACAATGAGGCATAATTCCAGCACGCCTCGGTCCGAGGAAAGAAAATTGGTGACGGTTGGAGAGTAGGAGGGAAGGAGGTGGGAAGGGGAGGAATAAGCTTAAGAGACAGAGAGGGAGCCAACAAAGTTGGTGAAAAATGTCTGGTCGTCCTTGGTTATGATGGTAGCAGGGGTGGGAGAGGAGGAGCCAGTAGGAGGGGAAGGGGTAACAGTCAGCGGGAGAAGGGGAACTAAATATATGAAAGCTTCATTTTTTAATGGACAAGCTTTCTATGCTTCCCCTAAATCATAAAATTTATATATTTCTCCTTATCCAACTCTCTGAATGGAGGGCTAAGATTGCTCTAATAATAATGTCACATCTCTACACTATTTTATTTTTAATTTCTTTCTACAAACTATTTTAACACCTTCGTCCAATCCTCTATTAAACTCGTACTAGCGAAAAATATACACACAAACATTTCCGATAATATAAAATGATAAAAATACCCTGAAAGTTTCAAGGGGTATTTTGGTCATTATATTTTATCAAAATTTTGTTTTTAATATTTTTTATAGGTGTGCCCCAATGAAAAGATGCATGTACCAAATTTCATATTCATACAATTTATATAAAAAAAAAACTAAAAATAAAATACTTTGAAACGTCGGATCTAAAATCAAACAGTGAATGACTCTCTTGATCAAAATTGGAAGGCTGGATGGTAGGGGAAGTCTTCTATGCGAAAGGGAAGTATAGAAACCTTTCCCTTCTTTGATTATGTAAGGGTAGTGGTGCAAGTTAGTGGTACTCTACTACCATTTCTGACCATGTGAAGGTTGGTTTACTGTACAACGATTTGAGGCGAAAAAGCAAAATTAGTGGTGCATGTCATGTGAAGGTATTTCTGACTGTGTGAAGGTTGGTTTACTGTACAACGATTTGAGGCGAAAAATGGTCCATGTACTATGATTGGAGGTGAAAAAGCAAAGGTAACATAATCTCATTGAACAAATGTGAAACAAAAAGAAAAAGCAAAGGTAAATAGTCTCATCGAATAAATGTGAAACAAAAAGAAAAAGCAAAGGTACATAGTCTCATTGAAGAATTGTGAAACAAAAATGTGCGACCAGCTGGTAAGAAATGGGTAAGAAGAGGGAGTAAGAGGGAAAGGGATAACAAGGAGCAAGCCTGAAAACATAGAGAAAAAGGGGTAAGAGAAGAGAGAAATCCGTGTCATCTCCTATCCATTCCCTTATATTGGGGCACTCCATCTCCAATTGCAGACTCAAACTGCACATGTTTTTTCAAACCGATCCAAGATTGCCCATGACCTACAGTTCATGCAAGGGATCATTAGTAGGTCACCAAAGTCTAGCCAATGGGCAAAAGGTCGTAGTCTCAGTCTATGGATTTCAGGTTCCTCCTGAAGACGAAACTAATATCATCTTGACCTGATACAATCCATTACTCAATTGTGCATAGGGGATCAGGAGTTATCTCTCGCACATGCATACGCTTCACCCTAAAAAGTGGTTCGTTTTCTCGAAAACGGCTATTAATGTGCACCCGTCTCTGAAGGCCTTCATCATACACAAAGGTACACAGTCCCTCAGCTCACTCTTCCGAACATACTCCGACCTCATCAAGGGATGACTTATCTAACCCTTATCGGTTTGTTTCTCTATGCCCAAGCAATATGGGATTTTTTTTAACTAGACTGACCTAGTACGTTAAGCACAGTCCAGTATCAGCAAACATCGTTTGCTTAATATGGTCCACACGGAACCGCACTCCCACTAAATTCATGTTCCACTGTATAATTTATTTACAAGCACTCATATGGCTTTTAATGGACACATACACCCAACATTTGGCAATAAGAAA